ATTCTCTCTTAGGTCAAAATTTAGGGGACCATTTCTAAACGATGTATGGTTTTCTAAGAAAAAACCAATCCCCTCTAAAAAGAACCATGTCGTAATCTTTAGCATAAGTGAAGAGAAGAAGAGAGAAACTGTCACTGAGGGAAAGTAGTTGGAGCAAACCTTTTAAAGCCCATTTTTTACGAATGGCACCAAGAAAAGCTTCGTAGAAAGGTCTTCAACCTATGGAGTAACCGACCAAACATAAGTTCCAATCTTGAGCATCTTTAAGGAGTTTTTCCCCAAAGAATGGGATGATTTCCTGCTATGAGGGGTAAAAGAAAGGGGAACGTCTTTAGAGGATGGGTCCGTGGAAACCACAATATTTTTCCAATTGCATTAGGGAGGAGGACACCAAGAGTGAAAGTAGAGTGAGGGGGAAAGTCAGTGGGAAGGAGAGACAATTCCATGAAGGAAGGTGGTAGACCTCTGGCAGAGCAGGAGGATGATGGGAGGTGTGGCGACTAAGGTGAAGAAAAAATCCTAGCATAGCAGAAATGGGCTTTAAAGGAGATAAATTTATTTCCAACAAGGAAAAATGGATTGGTTCTTAAAAAAAATTATATATATATATATATATATATATATATATAAATTTTTATTTACTTTTACTTATCACTATTAAAAGTTGTCATACATGCATCTTAATGCATGAATTAAAATTGTAGTTCGAAGAAAAGAAAAGAAAACTAAATATGGTTGATAGCAATATTATAACTAAAAATATCTTATTGAGATGAAATTTTAAATAAATTAAATTTATACTTTCATAATTAAATAACTTTAATGATAAATAAATAAATAAATAAATAGCTTATGTCTTATAGGATTTTATTCTTATATTTTCTTTTTAATTATGTGAATTTAATCACAATTGTTATAAATTAACAATTACAATACTCACTTCTTCCACTATGTTTAGAGCTGAGGCACCCGAACATATGATTTAATTAATACTATTTATTAGATGTATTAATGAAGGAGACTGATGAGAAGTTAAAATATAAACATCAATTATATGTACATCTTAATTAGCTTCTTAGCCTCTGAGAACAAGTTCAAGTCCTTTAAAGAGGCTTTGGCCGTTTCCCAAGCTTTGGTTGTTTTTCCGCATCTAAAGCACACTACCCACTGTGGTTTATCTGTGCTTTGAATTTATGAAGAAGAAATTCAAGTGCTTGCAACACCCATTGAATTTGCTCTTGTTGGAAAGTTTCCTCTCCGACGCCTTGTTTTGATCACCATTCATAATTTTTTCTTCTCTTTCAAGCTGTATGGAGACTTTTCTATTACTCTTATCGACCCCAGACATGTTCTAATCAAACTCTTTAACAATCTTGAGTATAATATAATATCTTCACATCGGGCATATTATGTGAACAATTATTATATGAAGTTTATTAAATAGTCCCCGACATTTGATATTTCTGCTAAATCTTTTATCGTTCATATTTGAATTTCATTCCCTAACTTGCTTTGGCACTTATTTCTCATTACATTTTGCATGGCTTTGGTTATTTATTTGGTAGACCTCTCCAAACTTATAGTGTTACTGCCTCTAGCACTTGATCGGCCCTCTGCAGATCGTTTCGTTCTTGAATTAGATGTGATAAAAACCTATCCCAATTATGTTTGGGTTGGTTCATAGAAACTTTGTTGTATCCATAGTCGTTCTGAATAATTTCTCTGAATGTTGAGACCATTATAAATCCTTGGGGCATATGAAACGTTCTTCCTATCATTTGCATCCTCATTCGAGGAATGAGAATTTGGCTAATAAAAAACAAATGAATAATGATATTGTGAATAATATTATTGTGAATTCCAACAATAAAGTTCTTAATGCTTAGTGCCCCTATTCAAAAAATATTATTCCCATTGATATTGCTAATGTTAATGTTCCTTTTGTTGATCAAACTAGTAAAGAAATTTTTGAGGGGTTTGATCTTGTTGTTGTTATTCCTCCTATTTATGAAACTTATTCGGGGTGATAATATCATGGGAAGGGATATTTCTACTCATCAGACGTTGAATGAGGTTCCTATTAATTCTCCTATCCCTCGTTTATCTTTCCCTTATATCATTTTGGGTGTGGAGGGAGACCCAATTGCTTGTAATGAGAATCCTTCTTCCAAGGTTGCTATGAATGCTGATTTTGTGTCTTCTAAGGAGGAATGTCCTTCTAAAAGAACTAATTCAAATTGGGAAGAAGGTAAAATACAATATGATGTTGAGTTCATTTTTATGCCAAACAATACTCATGGTTCATTGGAGGATTTAAAGGTGGCCTCTAATAATAATAATTAAAAAAAGGAATTGCTTGTATTTAATTCAAGATTTACTAGAACTAAAGCCGTTAACAAATCTATTTTCTTATGATTAAGGCTTCGTTTGGGACGGCTTTTTTATTACTTTCTAAAACGGAGTTTTAGTATAAAAATAAAAAATTTTGTACTAAAATTCCGTTTTAGAAAGCAGTAAAAAAGCCGTCCCAAACGAAGCCTAAGTCTCATTTGGAATGCTATGGGTGCGGAAAACCTTACCTCGAGATCTCGTATTCGCAATCTTTATAGAATTCATAAATTTTCTATTTTGGCTTTTCTTGAACCTTTGGTTAATTCATCTAAACTTTTTCTTTGTCAACATCAATTGGGGTTTCAATTTTCTTATGCTAATCTTAATAAAAAAAAAACTATTTTATTTCAAAGGATGATGTTAACCTTTCTATTATTGTTGATTTTGACTAAGTCATTAAGTGCAAATTTTTATTAAAAACATTTTGATTATGGGGCCTAATTTTTATGCTAAATGCACTAAAGATGGTAGGATCCTTTCATGGCATCAATTAAATGACTTTGCTTATTCTTTTAAGAGCCCTTGATTTGTTGGCAGGGACTTTAATATTAATGCCAATGCATCTAATGAATTGGTGGCTCACTTCCTAATTTTTCTTCTATTGAAAACTTTAATAACATGATTTAAGAATATGGTCATTACATGAAAGTCATGTATTTCCGGCAAAAAATTCTGAAGTTTCCAGCGGATATTGAAATTTTCCAGCGAATTTCTGACAAAAACGTTATCGACAGTAAATCGAGCGCGGAAAACTTTTCCGTCGACAAAAATATGCAGGAAAATAATTTCCAACAAAAAAGTTTCGCCGGAATGTTTTTTGGCCGAAAAGAACCATCGGAATAAATAAAACGGGTTTTTTTTTTTGAAAAAATGATGCTCCGGCCCTGCATTCCAAGGACACAATCCAGCCCGCTCTTGCAATCAGCACCAAACCCGCTTCCGCAATGTGTGTGAGCCCACTCTCGTGCCCGCAACATGCGCGGGTGTGCCCACTCATTGTATTAAGTTTATTATTATAATTGATAATCAAAATAAATTTTTTAAGTAACAATTAATTAAACTATGTTATTAAATTAATAATTAAATAAAATATATTATTAAATTAATAATAAATTAAATTAAATTATAAAATTATTAATGAATTAAATTACAAAAAAATTATATTTTCAGATATTTTTAATATATATATTATTATATTTGCTATTTGAAATTTTAATGACCAGTTTTTGTATTACCCAAAATAAGTAAATTTAAAATTTAAATAGTTCATTCTATATGAACCTAATTTGTACTAGATGAATTTTAATTATTTGTTAAATATTTGCCTATTTTAGGACCTGCAATCAAGGAGTTGAATAAAAGCATATTTTATGCTATACGATCCATATTATTCAAGCTAAACAAATATATATTTTGTTGGAATGATACTGATTCAGACGGGATGATTTAATATTCTTGATCAAATACTTGAACTTATTGTGTTGTACAATATATATTTTATGAGCCAATAAATTAAAGAAGTTTTCAAGTTTTTTTGTACTAATCATATTATACGATCTTTTGACCTTGCATTACAATCATACAACAATTTACATAAATAGTCCACTAATGATTTTTTGTACTAATCCTCTTAGGTGTGTCATACGGCTTTGATTAACATTAAACCACTTTCAAAAAGCTGATAGAACAAGAGGAGAGGGTTTATTTTTCATGAAGTAATAGAGATTTATGGGATTTTCTATTACCCTTTAAAGGAGGAAGGCTTCTCCATCTTCTGTAGAGCAAGAGGAGAGGGTTTATTTTCTTAAGTAGTTGTTCTTATACTTAGGATTGTATCATATTTATAAAAAAAATTGCTTATACAAATTTGTATTTTGTTTCATAAAAAAACTGAATGGACGCATCAATTCATCTCCTCTCTCTGTGGTGTGCCACAAACTTCAGTATGGTCCTGTCTAAACCATTTAGATAAATAGAAAAGACGCTTAATTTTTGGAGTTTTTGATCTTCTGAAATCCCTTCGCATGTTGGCTTTCCTAATATCCAGTGACCGAAATTTGTTATCTATTTGACATTTGTTTTTTGAAATACATAAATTGTCACAACTTGTGCTATCTGAAGCACTTCGGTGCAAGCATACATCCTATCGTGATTCTCTAAATAATGCCTAAGTAAAGTCTTCATCTTGACAAAAAGAGATTTGTCACTTTGCTTCTTGCTTGCTTGCTAATTCTAAATTCTACTTTTAGGTTCCGGAGATGCCAATTGTGCGATATCCAAAATCCATGGTTGAGAAAAACATAGAACAGTAGCCACCCATCGCATCAAAAGCACAAATAAAATGTAGATAAAGTGCAATCAAAGCGCAGTGAAATTGCAATCAAAGCACAGTCAAAGCATAGTTCACATGAAAATTTTAATTCGATATCCGGACCTATTTTCGATGTCGGGACCTAATAATTTCCCCCATATGAGTGGGGGGGATTGAGTGTTAGAACAAATATGTGAATGCGTTTACAATTAAATTTACTCAACCAAAAATAAAAATAAAAACAAAAATCTGATAATGACAATCTTATGCTAATCCTCCAAACTCGGATTACATACGTGAAGACACAGTCCAGTGGTTTAGATCAGTGGTGAAACCCAAAGTTGCTAACTCTTTCTTTGCTTCCTCAGGAGAACAAACGGCAGAAAAGCCGAATTTAAGGGTATATATTCATTCTCGTGCACTCTCCCTTCTATCCTGTGCTATTTTGCCATTTAAATTTCGCTTTAGATGAGCCTAAGAAAAGCCGAATCTCACTCCGGCCTCCAGCCTTCTCTCCTTCCTTCGGGTGTCTTCTTCTTTCTACTCATCCTTGTCTTCTTACTCGCCACGACCACTGAGGCCGACTGTAGCTTTCCGGCCATTTTCAACTTTGGGGATTCAAATTCCGACACAGGTGGGTTTTGGGCGGCATTTCCGGCTCAGCGAGCTCCCTTTGGAATGACTTACTTCAAGAAACCTGCAGGCCGTGCTTCAGATGGAAGAGCAGTGATCGATTTCTTAGGTAGTAGCTATGTCCACCTTAATTTAAACTAACTGTTCTGTTTGAAATTCCTTTTCTTCATGTTTTTTTTTTCTGGTTGGAGAGTGTAGCTCAGGCTCTGGGCTTGCCGTTTCTGAGCCCTTATCTGCAGTCCATTGGATCGAACTTCAGCCACGGCGCTAATTTTGCGACGGCGTCTTCGACGGTGCTGCTGCCCAGCTTATTTGTAACAGGGATAAGTCCTTTCTCCTTGGCGATTCAATTAAATCAAATGAATGAGCTCAGAGTACGGGTCTTCGAAATGAGCCCACAAGGTACGGTCTAAACTTGGATAGTATTACTAAGTACTTCTTGCTTTCACTAAAGCAGATAACGCGGATCCATACAAACTTTGATTAATATAATTTAATCTTTAAGCAACATTACTTTGGCCAAACCTTTCCGTCAGTTTTTGAGTCCAACTTTCTCTCATTTTAAGGAGCGGAGTCCAAATGTAGTTTGATTTTATGATTGTAAACAGTAAAAGCATAATAAAAGTGCGGTATTGAACAGTAACTTTATTTTTACTGTTCACAATCACCGAACCGAATAATTCTCTGCATTTGGACTCCACATGTAATAATCTCTCCATTCCAACAATCAATTGGGACAGCCTGTAATACAACTTTTCCAGTAATTTGTTTTTTTAGACTATATTATTTCTCTATAAAAGATGAAATGAGATTATAATTATCTCCTAAAAAAATTTTAAATTCTTTGATATGACGGGTTTTATCTCTCTCTCTCTCAAGTTATAAAATGTTAAAATAAAGCCTTTTCAAGAGGAAAAGTTATTCGGTGCGGCCTCCGGACATAGTTATCTGTCCGGATTCCAATAATTTTTTGCCACGTGTGGCCCGACAACCCCACTATGCAACTCGATAATAAATTAAAATTTAGCACCTTTTTTTCAACGTCCTACAAGGCCCGAATACCCGACCCGAGCCAAACGTGAAAATTAAAAAAAAAAAAAAAGTGGAAATATCTAGGGTTTATGGTAATGGAAAACAAATATAATCTGGCGTGTGCACCATTTGTTGGAGGTAATAATCATTGTCAGAATATTTTTTTAGGGTTGACATTATTATCGGATGAAATAATTGAATCATTTAAATTGTAATTTAGAATATTTTTATGGATAGTGGACGATAAACATCTCATTATAATATTTACTAATCAGGACCAGGCAATTGCTAAGGCAATATAAATTGCATTATACCTCAGACACGCCATAGGCTGTGCCAATGGCACATCAGCAAGAAGGCGTCATTCAAGGTGTGGTGCTTTAATAGCAACAACAATGTTTGAGACATTTTTTATATATGTTTAAGCAAGTGCGATTCTGAGGAGGAGTTCGAGAGAACCTGGGCTAAAATGATCAACTAAGGGACCTCCACAACCATGTCTGATTGAAGAAGCTTTACCAAATAAGGAACAAATTGTCTACATCATTCAATAAGAGCTGTAACCTTGGCATTTTTTCTACACAACTTAGCAAATTCACTAACAATGTGTGTAATGGCATTTCTAAGCCAATAAGTTTTATAACTGATTATTTTCTATGCTTTGAGAAGATGATGATGACTTGACAATGGAATAATCATGATAAAGATTTCAGATGCATCTAGTCCTAATTTGTACCTATAATAATAGTAGTCCAATACTAAAACATGATGATCGATTTTATTCACAAAAGTTATATTCATTTTTTGAGGAGTTCTTGGAGGGTGTGGGTGGAATGTGCATAAATCATGCCTCAAGTGACTCATCTACATTCTTTGTGAAAAGCATCGAGAAGATTGATCACTCGTACCATTGGGCTGTTCATTTTGATGCAAATGAGGGTACCATTTAATGCAGTTGTGAGAAGTTCGACATGATTGGTTTATTATGTTCTCACTGCATGAGAGTAATTATGTATTTAGATATAGTTAATATTCCTTCGAAATACCTACTATTAAGTTGATCATCTAGAGCTAGAAAAGATATTTATGTAGGCCGGATGTTCAAATGTATGGGAAACAAAGTGATCCCATCTCATGAGAGATTAGGAGGTATGATATTTAGAAATCATTTAAGGAGATTTGTATATTAAATTAGCACACGGGCACAAGATAAGGAAGAAGAATAGTAGATGTTGGATGCAATGACTAATATGGCTAAAAATGATGACTTGATACTGGATGGCAAGAAAAAGAACCACAGATTTATTGCAAACATAGAAGGTGGGTTAAAAAAAATGAAAGACCCACTCAAGTGCAGGCCTAAAGGCATCTCTAATACTAGGTTAAAGATTCATTGGGAGAACAGAAAATGTAAGAGAAAAAAAAAACTGAGTACCAAGCTACTCCATCAACTGAACATGTACACCCAGGGAACCACTCAGTTAGGCTATGTTCACAAACATACCAAAATGCTTCACAGATAAGTACATTCTGAACGAAGCGGGGCAATAAGTGGCTAGTATTCGATTGCTACTCAGAGGAAAGGAAAAGTTAGAAAATAAGTAAAAGATGAATTTCTTCACAAGCTCGGGAAGTGGTGTTGAGTCATTGAGATTAAGCACCTCCTTTATGTCATTTACAAATTTTTCGGTGATTCGGGCACTTCCCAAGTCAAAATGATTTCCTCTGTTCAACAGACCTACAATAAAAGAAACTTCATCAACAATAAATACTAACCTCTTCTCCATGATGATGAAGCACTACATCTTGATATCCCCGAATGACAACAACTTGTATAATCTGAACAAAACGGGGCATCAAAAGAAATTGATGTAGCTGAACTTGCCTCAGTCTATCCATAAAATCTTGTCCAAATGTTTCAACCAAGTGATCGCATATTTATCTAAATGTCAAAGTTCTGCAACGGAAACTTATCTTTGGAACATATCCCTATAAAAATAGGTGTAGTGGATAAGACTGAAAATCTAACTTTCACCAAAAGCTATATAGAATCAGTACATATGTGTATATATCATTGATACACAGTGATACTCAGATGGGATACCCAGTGATACCCAGCTGCGGTACCTAGAAGTACATAGGGTACACAAATAGTACTCAGATGCAGTACCCAGCGGTACCCAGAGGTACCCATATAGGGTACCCAGTGGTACCCACAGGTATACATTAGTGTACAGCGTTACCCACCGATACACATCGGTGCACAACGGTACATACCGGTACCCACAAGTACACACCAGTACACACCGGTACCCACTGCTACAGAGTATAGAAAAAACCTAAACCTAAACCTTAACGTTACATTTGCAGAATGAATAGAACAAACATATCTCGTGAAAGAAAAAACTTTTTATCCTAGTAACAAAAAATTGACCTTAGTCATCCTTCTTTTTCTGCAACAAAAATCTGGAGGAAACAGAAGGAGCTTCGGGTGAAGATGAAGAGTGCTTGCAACATTTTTACTAAAACACCACAGTCGATTTTGAAAAATTGAAATGACTCGGTAAAAAGTAACTTTTCGTGTCTAGTCTGGGTCGGGTCTTCGGGTCGCGTGGTAAGTCAGAAAAAACATGCTAAATAGAAATACGGGGTCATCAGGCCATACGTGGTAAGAAATTATAAGAGTTTAGATGTAGAGCTACGTCCGGAGTCCGCACCGAATAATTGCCATTTGGAATTTTTTTAATTAAATATGGTACAAAATCTCGGATTATAAATCATCTTTTAGTTGAATAAAGTACGAAGCTTTTGCCAAGTAAACAACTCATTTGGAAAACATGTTAAATTTTAAAAACGAGAATGTATTGCTTGCAAAGAGAAATAACAAACAAGTCCTAAATTAGCTGAAACTTCATTTGTATTTCGTCTTAAGAAATAAGGATTTTTATTCAATTTTAAGATGACTAAGTACCTGAATGAAACATTTAGAATTCATTTCAGATATATAATTTTTTTTTTAGTAAATTTAAGATGGAAATAATATAATTTTCTTAGATGAAATGAACAATATCAAAAGCATCTGGATTTGAGCTATATGTACTTAAATCATGTACTTTAAATTATAGTTTAAAACTTTTTGAGATTATTTCAAAAGTCAAATGTTCTTTTAATTTTACATGTAGTTTAAAAGGACATTTCGATGTGAAAAATCCGATGAGCTCAAGATCACTCCATTTCTGATTCATCAAACCCAGAGATGATTCAAAAAATTAAAATATCAGAATAGATCTTTTTCGAACAGTCCAATGATATTCACATTCTTAATCCCTTGAACATTATTTTTTATAATAAAATTCAAATCGTTCTCTACCAATTACATATGTGATCCTAATCCTAAACTAACACTAATAGTATCTAACAATCTAGAAATAGGAACTACCTATGAAGTCAAAATTGAAAAAGCCCCTAATTCATAAACATCTACTACTCTTATAAGTTTCACCCTAAATTTATTTGGAGTCATTTTCTAAATTAATTCTTAAGCTTCATCAAATAGATTAGACATTAAAGATCCTCTAGCTATTGAAATGATAATCGATCTAAGGGATCCTGCCAATCTACTGTAAAAAGTTTGAATAACCAATCAATCAGATAAAGCATGGTGAGCACATTTCCTAAGTATTTTATTAAATCTCTCCCAACTTTAATAAATTGACTTTCTTTCAAACTAGGCAAAAGATGAGATATCATTTATAAGCTTAATAGTTTTGAAAAGTGGGGAATACTTAACTAGGATTTTTTGTGACAACTCTTTCCAAGAGATTATATAGTATGGGGGCAAAGAATTTAACCACATCTTAGCTTTATCCCTTAACAAAGATGGAAATAAATGAAGCCTAATAGCATCATCACTAACACCATTAAAATTGAATGTTACACAAATTTTTTAGAAGCTAGCTGAGTAGAGGTTGTGATCCTCAACAGGAGTTCCCCAAACTAAAAATTTTGAACTATTTGAATTATGGCGGGTTTCAGTTCAAAGTTATTAGCATATATAATAGGTCTATTGATACTCTAATGGACTACCTAAGAGGTCTAGGATAATCCTTATCTTATAATGGGTCAAATATCTCTAAAGTTAAAATATTTTTTAATTTTCAAATTTTTATAATGGTCCTTTCTATTTTTGAATAAAAAAATATGGACACCTTACTAGATCTACAATACATGCAACAATAATGCACTATAAAGTAAAGAACAAAACTAAAAAATAATAATTTTTTTCCTTTAAAAAAATTGTAAAAATTATAAAATAAATATACAAGATACACATAGGTATAAATTACAACTAGTTCAACAATATCGTTTAAAATTATAATACACACGTTACTATCCCATTAATGGTGCCAAAAAATTGATGCATGGGTGGACCAGTAGGTGCAATCGTGAATAACTAAATATGTATATTGAAAAGAATATGCTTTAGATCAATTAATTCTTAAGTTTTCTTTGATACAGATTACCCACTAAGTACATAACTATACGTGTCAATCAAGTAATAAAGTTATTGAGAAAGGATCGATCCCATGAGAAAGTGTTTTTCTAAATTGCAATCAGACTAGTGATATCTCTACAGATGTGAGGATTATTCTACTAAATGAAAATGAATGATTTTGAGTTTCTGCTAATTATAGAGAATGTAAAAAATGATGAGATAATAATATATAAAATATATTTTGGACTAATGCCTATAAAATAATAAATTTTTATAATGAGACACTTAATTATTGATGTAGATCAAGGCATATGTCTATAAATTTTGAGTTTTTTTTTTGGAAGTTGCAAAACTCCAGAGAGAGAAGAGAGAGAAGCTGTGAGAAAATCTAGAGAGAGAAAGTCTTTCTTGGTTTCAATTTTTTCGCGGGCTTTTGGTTTTGCTAGTTTCAGCAGGTGGAATGGTGGTTCCCGACCACCGGCAAGCCGCTTGCCGACGGTAATCTTTCTTCTGATCACCATTGTAATGGTCCACTCAAATCATCGGATCAAAATCTCAACAAGATTCACATTGATCCGAATGAACAAGTTTCAGTAAAGAAATATTCAAACCTGATAATCAATGAAGGATTCAGACCCCCTTTGCGATTAGAGTCTATAATAGAAGGAAAAGGAAAAGGATTTATTGAAGATCGAATTGCTGTGGTGAAGGACAGGGAAAAAAAACCCGATTCTTTTGAAAATCAAGTATTCGACTCTACATCGTCTTCAAATGTGATGCTGAAGGTTAATAAATTTATAGGATCACGAGATGCTGATGTTCTGGAGTGGATAAATAAAAATCTTTTGATTTCCTTTGAAAAAGAAGAAGGAATTACTGTTCCTGGTTCTGTTATTGGTCAGAATGCTAAATCAGTTCATATGAATAGCTTTACGTCGGCGTGGCAAAAAACTCAACACATTAAGTTGAGTTATAATTTGAATTCTACTCAGATGTCTGAAGATGGGAAGGCGGTGAAGATGAATCCAAAAAAAGAATTGGCCAATACTCAAATCTTAAAGAAATCCCTGGTTATTAAGGTGCTTGGATAGAATATCCCATTCCCAGTTTGTAGCCTAGAACTTAGAAGACAGTGGAGTAAATTCGGCAGCTTCCATCTTACTACTTTGGGAAAT